GTCTGCCCGACCGGCCGCGGGGGATGGGGTGGGAGCTGGGTCGGAGGAAGAGCCGACGGGGAGGCGCGTACTTCCCCGGCCTCCCCTCCCATGACGCGGAGCCGGGCGAGAATGTTACTCGCCCGTGCTCCCGCTCCCACTCCACCTCCTACTCCGCCGCCCACACCGCCGCCCTGACGGGCGTGGGGTATCTGGCCCCTCCTCTCCCGCTGCGCTGCCTCCTTCTGCGAGATGACTTTCTCGCAGAAGGAGGCAAACGCGTGCCAGGACCTCTCTTCCAGTATCGCGGTAATCACCGCTGGTAGGGAGAGGTCCTGCCCGAGCACGTGGGTGAGCGTCTCTCGCTCACCCGCCCACGCCGGACACTCGCCCAGCGTGTGCTGGGCGGTGTCGTCCGCCGCGCTGCAATGGTGGCAGCGGGAGTCTTGCTCCTTTCCGATCCGACCCAGGAAATGTCCGAAGCAGCCATGCCCCGTCATCACCTGGGTCATCCGGAAAGACAGCCCACCCCATCCCCTGTCGACCCACTGGTCAAGGAGGGGCCCGATTGCCCCGACGACGCGCAGCCCCGGGGTGTTGTTCCCCGAGGCTAAGAGCGCCTCTCGCCACATGGCGATTGTGCGTCGCCGGTGCTGGAGTCTCTGCCGAGCACGGTGAGTCGCTGACCATCTTATGGGTCTCCCCTCGGAGTCGCGGCTTTCGAGGAACATGTTACTATGTTCCTCCGCCGCGTACTCCATCGGGGGGAGACCAGCGATCACTGCCGCCGCGTTGTACGCCACGGTTTGGTACGCCCTACAGATTCTCGCGGCTATCGGGCGAAACGCACGCGCCATCTGAGCGCGCGCGCGCCGCGATGCCGCGAATTTTGGGGCCCAAACTGGGGCCCCGTAGAGCGCCACGGACTGAACCGTATTGGCGAGATTCTCTTTGACCTCGTGGGCCTCCAGTCCCTTGAGCGCCTCCTTTACCCCCGAGACAAGCTTGTCCAAGGCTGCCGCTTTCCTTGGCACCGGGGTTGAGCTGGCGAAAATTTTATCAAGGCAGGAATGGATGAGCAGTCGTTTTATCTGTCCTTGAGAAGATCCCAGGACGGCGTGAGCTAGTCTCCGGCCATTGAGAACCCTGATATCAGCTGAGCTGGCGCGCCTTCCACCGACGAACGGAGGTAATGAAGCCTCTCCACGTTCGTGAGCTGCTTGTTTGAGATGATCAGACTTGAGAAGAGATCTCGG